CACACACACACACACACACACACACACACACGCACACACACTCTCTCTCTCTCACACACACACACACACACACACACTCTCACACACGCGTGAGGATAAAGATAAACTGGTCTGTCTGCAGTAGGTGTAGGTGGCACATCTCTCTTCTAGTAGGTCAATCTTGCAAATTGTATAAAAGTCACCGGGAACAAAAGCATAAAATAAGCTCGACTGACACACAGCTGAATTTTGACCCTGAGCGCTCACGTCGAGAAACAAACGGCCGAGGTTTAATTAAAGAGCGGGAGGAGGGAACATTTCAGGAATGTGTCCAATTAATCAGAAAACAATTGTAAGATTGAACAAATAATGAAGGAAAAAGAGACGCATGAATCAGATTTCTACTTGTGCACACTGGAGCTTTTAATATGCTAAAATCATTAACAAAGAAATATGATAATGGGCACATAGAAATACATTTTTTGATTGCAAAGTGCTGACATATGCTTGGCAAGACAAGGTCTGTTTTTCTGTGAAGCACACATACACTCGTGTGTGTGTGTGTGTGTGATCCTCTCACAGACAGCAGCAGATTCTCTCTCTGCACTGAACACACACACGGAAAGCTGAATTCAGTGTGAATGCATCCCGGCATAGGTCATCACATGCTGTCAGCCAGCTGATTCATGACACACACACACACACAAACGCATATACAAACGCATATACATATATGTTGATTGTGTGTGGGTGTGTGTGTCATCAAAATCTACTAAAATCCAATCACTAGTAAACCAAAAATGTTTAATTACGCTGCAGCCTGTTAATGGCACCAGCTTTTTGCTGCTCGCGCCATTCTGAGCGCACACACGCGGTCAGGGAAGGAGTCCTCTGGGATGTGTCAGTGCATCATACAGTCCACAGCAAGTGCATGTGGGCCGATTTTATTTCCCAGAGTGCATGTGTGTGCATGTGTGTTTGCACTCTATTGGCTAAATTACAGGGTGTGATGTGCTCTTCACCGCAACTCAGTGTAACGTCGAGCCTGAACCCCCAGTGCCCCCAAACACACATCAACCCCCCCTTCTCACACACACACACACACACACTCCCCAGCGGAGCGGCTGACCGTGCGCTTGATGAATGACTTCATCAGTACGAGGCCAGACTGCAATGAATTAAAGAGTCCTGCAGCCTAATGAAACCCAGCACATCCCCCGACTGAACTACTGAACGCTGCAGCCCGATTCACATGCTATAGGTGAGATAAGAATTAGTGCACAGGAGTAGTATGTTGAAAACAGCAGGCTGAATGATGCAGTGCATCTATGAAGTGTGCATTAGTGCATGCTTTTTCGGCTATTGCAACACACAATCCATTGTGCAGTGGATCGGTATGCTTTTGACTTTGCATTGGTGTTTAAATGCACAAACCTAAACGTAATGCATTTAGCTAGATGCTAAAATGATAGCGCAAACAGCTGTACTGTTATGCGACACGCTTTTTTTTTGAGGTTTGCGGAACTGAAATTAAGGGCACATTCTTAATACCCCATTGTCTCTTACCAACAGTTTCAATTATTCTCCAACTACTCCATCATCGCTGAAGCATTTGAGTTTCCCCGTGACGCGCAGCTCAAATTGACTGTGATCGTCTCTGTATGTTTAATCAAACTGAGCGCAGCAAGATAACACAGACTCCCAATAAAATCAATCAAAGCCCAGAATGACATTTTAATATCTGCTACAGAGAAATCTGCAGAAAGATTGGCACATTTTAAATTTAGAGAGGCTGTTAATAATGCATTTACATATGTGTGTTTCTGCAAAAATGATATTTCAACCAAATGAAGGCTGCAGGTTTAGTTTGATAAGACTGATTTGAATATAATATATATATATATTCCATTTTACTAGGCAAATTCATGAATAATTGTAATATGGTGTGTTTGTTGTATTTGTAATAAGAAGGAACTCGGCATTTACTGCGAGAAAGACTTAGATTTCTTTAGAAAGTTAACTTTGACTATGAAATGACTCATGGAGTGTGTGTCAGCGGCGCTGTGTTTGATTTCTGCTCAGCAAAACAGAAGCTAAAAGACTGTTTTGTTTAAAAGATGGACAAAAGGAGCTTGCTTCTATGTATTCTAGCTTGTGTGTGTCTAAGGTTAAATGTGTGTGCTTTGGTAGCGTTTTGTGTGCGTTTGATTTTCTTCAGCATTACGCTGCATCCAGACAACAAGAAGGAAGCCGGCAAGAATGCAACTAGACTCGCTCACACGCACACACACGCACATGCATGCACAAAAGAGAACACGTCCTTGGTTTTATGAAATGCACCATCACAAATACACCCCCCGATGCTCGAGCGATGCATGCATGCCAGCGCTCATTGTGTTTTTCTGCATGCACACGTATGAACAAACGCGTCTTCGTGCAGCTCTAGGATCAGATTCGGTCGTGACTGCCATGCTGGGTTTTTTCAGAGGTAAAACAGTTTCAATTTATGTGGCTTCAAAGGGGCACCTGGAGCCCAGTGCACCATGAAAAGCTATTGAGGAGAGCAGCTAGACTCCCTCTCTCTCTAATTCTTTCTCTCTCTGTGCCCCCACAACAATTGCTGGCTGGGCTTGTCTCGGAGCCGCTGGACTGCCGCCAGCCCCCCTGTTTGCTCTACACCAATAATTTATGTTCACTGAAGATGGTGCAAGGTTCTAGAGTGACTCTAGCTATCAATTTGCCTGCCAAGCAAACTGTTGCCCCGCAAAAACATGGATTGGCAAGGCCAGGCGGAGGGGGATGCTGGGAGGGGTGTGAGGAGGAGGTGGGCACCCCCGTGAGGTTGGCCTGGAACGCAGTTGCTGAGGGTAAACAAGCATTAGCACTAAAAATCAATCACTCCCATTCTCAAGGCCGTCAGAGAGAACCGTGCAGGGGAACAAACACACACCCACTGCAGTGTGAG